CCAGAAAGAGAGGTAACTCTTGAAAGAGCGACATATAGCTGACCATGCATAAACGACGGAAGCCACAAGTCAACTCCTATATACTTTAATGATTGGCCTTGGGACTTGTTGATTGTCATAGTGAAGCATAGCCTGACAGAAAGTTACTTTCTTGTTAGAATGAATGACAAATCACCTTCTTGTGCTGAGAGTGTAAACCGAGGTATAAGCTCTAATGGGCCATCCGGCTTATTGGCAAGGCGAGCCTGAAGCATATAGCTGCCAATTCGTACGACAACCAGGCGAGTGCCATTGCATAGGCCTTTTGCTGGGTCAATGTTTCTTAATAACATTACTGGTGCGCCAACTTTGAGCTCAAGCTTAGATGGAGGCAAGCCGGTAGGGTTTAAACTGTGTAAATATTCTATAGGAACAGTGTGTAAACCATCGGCTTCATTAACATCAGCAGAGTCTGTAGACGGAAGCGTAACCTTTTCGGCAGCCATCTTATCGAGAACAATGTCGTTGATTCTTTCAACTGTGTCGTTTCTGGTAGTTAATATGGCCCTTTCACTAAAAAATTGACCATTGTTTATCGACATAGAGTTACTGATTTCTTCATCTCTATAGGCTTTGTTGATAAATTTATTCAGTTGTTTGGTCTGATAGATATAGCCAGGAAGTGTAATTGAATCATAAAGTGTATGGTTATATGAAATGTCTGCTATAAATCTTGCAAATGCAATATCACTTTGATTAAAAAGGTTTGTTAAACGCATATTTTGCGTAAGTCTCAAGAGCTGGAGCCTTGACCAGAAAAATGACTGCTTGATTGGTGCACTAACAGTATCAGCTCTGTTACCCTTTCTGATCACTGGTGGGATCTGAGCAAAATCACCGTCAAGGACAGCAGGCTTTCCTCCAAACAAAGAGCTCATCAGGATCATCGCAGATGTTTTGAAAGGTGCGATGGACAGCTCCAAAGCAATACTTGTGCTGCATCGGTATTTCGTCCCAAATGATCAACTCTGCTCTCTGGATGAGCCCAGCAAGATCACTATCCTTTCGGATGCTGCAAGTGGAGCATTCATCTATAGATAAAAGGATTTTGCATAGTGAATGGGATGTCTGACCATTAGGCAAGAAAAGCGCGGCAATCCCAGAGGAGACAACGCAAAGGACGATTTCGTTTTTACTCGTGTAATAGTTACAGAGAGTGTTGTATAAGTAAGTAAGTATAAGTAAGTATAAGTATAAGTATTGTTTATTTTTTTTTACGTGTGTAGAATATTTATGTTTTACAATGAGTATATCTTTTTTATACTTTGCTTATTCTCTTTCCCAGACGGCTGCCATACCCATACCAGAACCAATACACATACTCGTAACACCAATCTTCTTATTTTGACGTTTCAATTCTGGCAAGAGTGTAGCCACTTGACGAGCACCTGTACAGCCCAAAGGATGCCCAATAGCAATTGCGCCACCTTTAGGATTGACCTTTTCCATGGGAATATTGAGTATTTTGACGGTATATAATGCCTGTGAGGCAAATGCTTCATTAATTTCATAAACATCAACATCAGAAATCTTTAATCCTGCACGCTCAACTGCTACGGGAATAGCATAAGCTGGACCGACACCCATAACGCGAGGTGGCACCTAGAATGATTATAAGTATGTCTTGCTCAACATGTATGAAAATTACTTACGCCCACAGCAGCAGAAGTAACATATTTACCTAGAATTGGTAAATTTAATTTTTGAGCTGTCTTACGCTTCATCAGCAGCACAGCAGCCGCACCATCTGAGATCTGAGAAGCGTTACCGGCTGTAGTGCTTCCATTGGGAATAAAAGCAGGCTTTAACTTGGCAAGACCTTCAGGAGTACTCGAGGCACGAATTCCTTCGTCCTTGTCTACGACAATGGTCTGCTCTTTTCCATCTTTGTCCAAAATAGTCACTTTGCAAGGAATGATTTCTTCATTGAATAAACCTGCCTTTTGTGCAGCAGCAGCCTTTCTGTGAGATTCAACCGAGAAAAGATCTTGCTCTTCGCGAGTGATTCCATAGTCAGCGGCGACATTTTCAGATGTAATACTTTTTCAATTACTTAATAATTCTTTTTCTTTTCTTTTTTCTTTTACTCTTACCCCATTGGTAATCTACAGTCAGCAACATTAGGAATTTGTGCCAATTTATCTGATGTAGGAATTTGACGACCAAAATAATCCTTTGTCATTGACTCGACACCAGCACCAATACCAATATCAATCAAGCCAGCTTGAATGGCAGTGGCGATCTGAACACAAGCTTGGAGACCCGAAGAGCATTGGCGATTCAAGGTACTGACAGAGGTTGTTTCGGGAAAACCAGCGGCCAAAGCTGCCATACGAGAAGGTGTAGCGAGACCACCTTTGCCAGATACATTGCCTACAGTAATATCCTGAACCAGAGCAGGATCGATGCCGGTTCTTTCAATAGTTGCCTTCAACACATGTAACAAAAGCTCTGTATAAAAATGTTAGAATGACTACAAAACATGAGCCTTCCTTACCATCAGCAAAACAATCTTTGAATCCACCCTTGCGCCCCTTGGTAAGGGCAGTACGAAGAGCTGAGACGACGACGACATCCTCAGGTGACTTGACGCCTACACGAGTCACTTGAGCATCAGCCAAAGTAGGTAAAGTAATAGGATAGGGTAAAGATGACATATGGATTAATAATTTGGGGAAAGAGAGAGTATAAATGGATATTTTTATATACTTTACTTCTTCTCATTTTTCATGACTAAACGCTTTTATCTCTTATCCCGCAAACCAATTTTTTTTTCCCAAGATACAGTGTGACTTGGCAAGTAGAGAGAAGTCATTAGTAAAGACAAATAAAAATGGCACTCTACTTTTGAGTCGATTATACAAAAGGGAAAGGAACTTTTCCTTAGAATGTTTATAACAATGTCGTAAGCTATAGAGTAATTAATGCGTGGCTTCTCCAATGAGTCAAAAGTAACACATAACCTTTCCCCCCCCCACTATTGTCATTTCAACTTTTTTTTTTTGATTTTTGATCTAAACAATCTTTTATTCGCTTCATTGAACATTTGATACGAACAGAATCCATGTTTTCCCATCGAAGAGACTATATCCATTTGTCATAGTTCTTTGTGTGCTTTTTTTTCTGTCCGATGGATGATATTCCCTAGGTTTTACTGAAAACAATCAACTCCTCGGAAACGGAGATACACTTTTTTATTTTAAGCCATATGTTCAGCGTCATTGTCCATCTTGATTGGTTCACTAAAAGGCTATGAATAGGCTCATTGGTCATCTCGAGCTTTGTAGCTGGTAAAATAGCAAAGTAGAACAGTGTTTACAAGCATTTTCTATTGAAATACTAATGTAAAGAGGAAATGGCTATGGTTCATCCCATTGTCATGGCTACCATTGATAAGTCAATATGTTCCTTATGACATAAGTGAATAATACAGTGTTTACTTTTATTGCAGATCGTCATCTAAATAATTATAGGGCATGAAACAAGGTATTTCTAACTTGAGTAAAACTCCGGTTATAGTGTACGACATAGGGTAAGTAAATAGGTAATGGATACAGAGTGGGGAGTAAAAGGATATATAGAACATTAAAAAGGGTAGTAATTAATAAGAAAATAGGTGTATATCGACACAAGATACATATTATATATACACGCATAAAATATTATACAATGGAGCGTTTCTTTTTTGAAATGGTCGTAAAGAATCGTTTTAGCTTGTTTGGTGATGCATCATTAATCGTTGTTGTTGTTGTTGAAGTAGTAGTAGTTGAATTAAATGGATCATAGGGATCTACAGCACTTCTTGATGAATAAGTGGATGTAGATGAAAAGGATGCTTTAGAAGGTGATGTGAGTGTAGATGAATAGACAATGGCAGATGGATCAACGTAAATATCAAAGTGTTCTGTAAATCTTGACATGTTTTATAATGAATAAAAAAGAGAAAAAAGAGAGGAAAGTGTGTTTTTTATATCTTTTCAAAAATGGAGCCTTGATCAGTCAAGGCCTTTTTAAGAAATTTTCTTTAAATAAAGAACTCAGTTTGGATCCGTCACACATCCTAAATATACAATTGCTTCTAGACTCTTGTGCCCATAGGTGCCTTACTTTTTGATTCGTTCATCACAAGAAATAATGCCATTGAATGGATCGAGATCAATTGATAATTATATTCTATTTGACATATGCTTTTCCTTTCCATTCTCTTCTTTTTTCTTTTCATTCTCTTCTTTTTTATTCTTCTCTTTCTTTTTTAGTGTAACAGGTCCCTGTTGAGCTGATCCTAAAAAACGATGCTGATGTGCCTCTGTGACTGTTATAGGGAAAAAAAAACACGACAGAGAAAAAAAAATACTCCCACTTTTTTTATACGTTGACTATGCAAACAGCCTCTAAAATCTTTGTCATCTCTGGCCCTTCAGGCTCTGGAAAGTCTACTTTATTAAAGAAACTCTTTGCTGAATATCCCTCTACATTTGGCTTTAGTGTCTCACGTAAATTATTATTGTCTGTTGTCTATAAGATATAAACAGGTTTAATAGATACTACACGTAAGCCTCGTCCAGGAGAAGTGGATGGAAAAGATTATCATTTTGTTGAAAAAGAAGACATGATAAAGGAAGTAGAAGATGGTAAATTCATTGAAAGTGCTACATTCTCAGGAAACATGTATGGTAAAGTGACCTTGCTCTTGATGATATACCAAGTTGACTGAATATGTATATATAGGCACTTCCATTAAAGCTGTTGAGGATGTGGTGGCGCAAGGCAAAGTCTGCGTTCTTGATATCGACATGCAAGGTGTTAAATCTGTCAAGAAAACTTCATTAAATCCCAAGTATATATTTATTAGACCACCTAGCTTTGACATTTTGGAACAACGTCTTCGTGGACGAGGAACGGAAAAAGAAGAAGCTATTGTGGCACGTTTGAATGCTGCTAGAGAAGAATTAGAATATGGTGCGACTCCTGGTGCTTATGATCATGTTATTGTCAATGATGATTTAGATACAGCTTATGATTCTTTAAAGAAGGCTATTTTCGTTCAGTAGATTTAGATTTTATCGCATATTATACGCCGTTTGATAATAAAAAATTATCAACATATGCATAAGCTCAACAATCTCTTCAGTACATGAGACTATTAAAAGAAATTCAAAAAGCGTGAAAAACAATAAATATGCAAAAATGTAGATCAATTTAATTAAAGAACAACGTCATGAGTAAGTGAGTGTAATGGGCATTAAACTATCATCAGTCGGATTGCAAATGATATCAGCTAGTACGCTGTGGAGTATTACGATTTTTCAGAGTGTCACAAGACAACCTGGATTAGCTATAGGATGCGATAATGGACGATGATGACGAACCTTCAGATTGTTTAACCCCAATTGTCAATCAGCCTGTTGTGCGATTGAGTGAGAGTGAGCCATCATAAACAACAATATGAACAGCAACTTGGTTCTATTTTTGTCACGAGTTACGTAGAGGATGATATTGATGGGCAGCTTCGAAGGGATGACAAGGGAGTAGTTTGAAATTTTTTCTATTCAAAGTGAAATTGAAAAAGTGTGTGCTTGATGTTCTTAAAATCACGATCGGTGATTAATGGCTGAGGGGATGGTGCTTCTACTTTTGTGTTTTGTATATTTGCACTTGATAGAAGCTACATTTTTCACTAGCTAATAGTAATTCTCTCATTCCTTATTAGCTCGTGATAATCTCTCTTTGCCGACAGAGGTCAACTGTAATTCACTTGATAAAACCTGTCTACGTGCACTTGTAATATTTGCCAACAACTTGTCCCGCTCTAATTTCAGTCTAAGATGGTATCTCTGATTGAAGCACATCAGAACTTTCGGTAACTACACCACTACTTTCATTTCCCACAGTGACCCCTATAAATGTTGCTTGTGCTCACCGTATGATTAAGTGTAAGTTGTTTTTAATAGGAAAGCGCATCGTAATATTTCTTTCATTACCACTGAGAATGCACCATGGTTGTAAAATTACATTGTCTCTATCAAATTGGTGGCAATAAGCTACAAATGCGTATCATCCAGGCAAAATGATCCAGATTGAACTAGTTGTTGCCCTTGTTATGGAAAGACAATGTATATTGAATAGTCTCGCTGCTGCTGAAGTTTACGCAGCCAACTTTTGATAGTTATGTTTATTATATGACATCTATTGTACATGCTTACGTAAATTATATGTATCAAGTGGGCAAACATATCATGTTGTACAATACATACTAAAGAGGATGACAAAACACCAGCTTCAGGCACAAGATTCCTTATGTCTACATTAAAATATCGTCCTTTTATCTCTTCTGCCATAGACTTTACATAAGATTTGAAGCACAAATTTCTTCACGTTAACTGATAAATTTAATGAGGTAATAGTGTCAAAGCTTTCAATAGCATGGCTATGTTCATTTGAAACTTAAATGCCTTAGTAATCAAATCCCTTTTTGATGCAGGATATGCAGCCGTGCAAATTTATTTCAGCACATAATGCTCACTTCAAATTTTTTGTAGACATACGATGCATCCTTCAGAACCTAGACGCAAGATTTAGTCAAATATGAGTTTATTCGTATATAGTAGCATTTACTGAACACTTGAAATATTGGTAGTTTAACGTCGCTTTGGTCTTCAAGGTGGATTTTCAAAGCATATTCTTCAATTGAGCAATTCCGTTTTTGACAAACATTAGGTTTCCATTGTAATATTTGGTGGCATCATAGGGCATTTTGATATAGTTTGTTAACAACCAAACACCTATTCGACGCTTTTTGTCCAAGTTCAAAGGTTCAGTGTCACCCATACAAAAAATTAATAATTCGTTTTTTTAATAATAAAAAAAGGTGCTTCTTGGCCCACTTCTTTGCACACTATCAAATTTCAACATAGCAAGTAAAAAGCGTTGTGTGTATTTAGAGACTTGAAAATTACTTCTTCTTTGCGAAATAAAATGGCATAAAATCACTTTCAAAGAATTATGCATTTAACACCTTATATTAAGTCCGGTGAAAGCAGGTGGCGACCTCTAAGAGTAAGTTGTAAGAATATCAAAGATGTCTATCTATTGTAAATATGCAATTATTAACGCGTATTCCTCGCGCATAACTCAGTGAATAGACCAGAAAGGATCAAAAATCCAAAACAAGTAATAACAACGTCACTATTTTGCAAGCCCATTGATAATTGGTTGTGAAATCTGCCATGTAGTGTTTCTTCGTTTAATACACTTATTTTTTTTTTTTCAAGCGAATGTCCATTAGGACTAGACCAACTGTAGCAAAATAAGAGTTAAAATTATGCAGGTTTTATAGAAAATGTTTGAAAAAAGCCAGACAAAAGAATTTCAAAATGAACATAATACGAGCGAAGCGAGAGATAACACCAATTTTAACAGCACACTTACTCGTCCTACACCAACCATAAACGAACCACAAAGGCTCTCTAACCGAAGACTTAGCTTTGCCTTGGATGAAGCATCTCTACGTAATTTGAAACATCAAAAGATGCCACTTTATAACAAGGATGTCTCTCAAGGAGGTAAAATAACATTGTTAAGTCTACGCTTAACTAATTTAATTCCAATAGTAATGACATGTGATGATCAAGAAGAAGACATGTTCTACTTGGACGAAGAAATACCAGAAGATGAAGAAGAAAAAGAGGAAAATAGTCATCAAGATGCGGGAAATATCACAGAAGAAAGCAAGGATGATGATGAGCAGAGTCTATTATCAGCTTCTTTTAGAAAATCTGTTTCTGAAATAGACCAAAAATACCCATGGATCAAAAAGAAAAACAATACAAGTAAATACCTTCAAGACTTTGATATTAAAAAAGATGTAAAGAACAACAATGAAGAAGAAGAAACAGGTAATGATGATAAGTAAGCACTGCTGAGTTACTAAAACGGTGATAGCCATTTCTACTTATGCCACCTCTGTTCCAATCACAATTAACTACTTTATGGATGACAATGAAGAGAATGATAAAGAAAACAAGGCAGCAGGTCAAAATACACCCAAGGATATTTTAGCCAAGAGTTTTGCCAATTATGATTTTTCATATTCTGATCGACTTTTATCTGAACAGTTTCCAGCACCAAGAAGAAGAAAGAGTTACGTACCTGGATCCTCCGTGATCAATCCTCAGCTACACAGTCTCGTAGGTAACTCACTAAACACAGGAGGAAGCTTAAGAAAGAACAGCACTCAAATATACTTGAAAGATGAAGAGGAAGAAGAAGACTTTGATCCTTCAGTCCCTCCTCATATATGGGCAGCTATGGAGGCAAAGGATGATGCCGAATTTATTGACCATTCATACAATGCGAGTTAAAAAAATAAAACAACCCGGACAGGGGATAAAAAAATTTTGCCTATGATTTTTCATCAATTATAAAGTTTTCTCTTTTTATTTAAAAAACAAAGCAATGGTAGATACCCAAGAGGAAACACCCAAGTGCCCCGTTGATCACAATGCATATAAACATTTTATTCCTCAAGAAAATCAACAAGTTGAAGAGGGAGCAAAATGTCCTGTTGATCACAATGCATATAAACACTTTACTCCTCAAAAAGGAGGTTCAGTAAAAGAGTCTGATTCTTGTCCAGTAGATCATTCAGCTCGTCAAAACTTTATTCCTGCTTCAAAAGAAGGATGTGATTCGGATGCCATTGACAGTTCAAACTATATGCCTAAAGTTTCTGAACAAACACCCCAGCATGATCAACGCTTGCCTTTGGGAAAAGAAAGACAAATCTCGAGTATTCCTCGTGCCAACTCTTCAGAGAAAATGTGGATCTATCCTTCTGAACAAATGTTTTTTAATGCAATGAGACGCAAGAACTGGACACCTAAAGAAGAAGACATGTCGGTTGTTGTTCCTATTCATAATGCAGTTAATGAAATGGCTTGGCAAAAGATTTTGGAATGGGAAAGGATGCATGAGACGTAAGGCGATAGTTAATCTGTTATAAACAAGTAACTAATATGCTTTTATAGTAAATGTAATCAGCCAATGCTATTGAAATTTCAAGGTAGACCCAAGGATATCACACCTAAAGCACGTATTCGATCTTGGTTTGGGTAAGGACATAATAGTTACCAGATGATCTTACTCACCCCTTTGATTAAAAGTTACTCTCTTCCCTTTGACCGTCATGATTGGACAGTTGATAGATGTGGTGAAAAAGTAACCTATGTTATCGATTTTTATACTGGAAAGAAAGACCCAAAGAACCCTATATCACTAAGTTTCTATTTGGATGTTCGTCCAGCACCTACTCCAGCTGGTATCTGGGACCGAATAAAGATGTCATTCAGAAAAGGCGAATTTGTTTAAGCTGCACACCTAGCAAACAGCTTTACTAATTTTGTACAGTAACTTGAAAAAAAAAAAAAGCGATATGTAACTAGGTTATTAAAGAAACAATAAAGCCAAAAATGTTTACCGTTATTGACAGCGCATTAAATCCAAGGCATTATTAATCTTTTGGAGATCTTTTGAAGAGAGGGAGACTTTCATACACCGTTCACATTGCGATTCTACTCCGTACCACAAGATTGACATATGGTGGCAGCATGTACTCTTCGCTTTGATCCAGTAATAGAGAAACTATTCATTTTTTTTTTTCATTTTACACTTGTTAAAGACTCGTCAACATAAACAAACAAATTCTGTCCCCTCTTATACTTCTTCTGTCGTAAATACTTATGACCGACATTGAAATAAGCGGCTGTAATCAGTATGAATAGAGTGAATTCATACGTTATAAGATTACATGTACACACCTTCAGTAGTAAGTCAAGCTAAATAGAATCCTACTTAAATCCTTCTTATGGTAAAAACAGTATCATAACCCAGACCATGAAATTGTTATGCAATAATCTACAAGACACAAGACAGAGACAGAAAGAGTACTCTTTGAGACTAACCTTTACTCTGAGATTAAGATAGAAGGAACATTTAGAAAAATAAGCATCTACTATTTATAGCTGCTATCTATAATACGAATAGACTGCATATATCAATCATACTCAGGAGATATTATTTCTTTCCGCTGCTGGTAGTGGTCCTGCTAAGTCAATTGCCCAGTGACCACCAGGTATTTTGACGTGAACCGGTTTATGAAAATTATATCCAGCTTTTACAACAATACATTTCTGACACTGTGGACATGTTTTTACAAGCCGTATCGCTTATTCCGTTAATTTTGGCCAATGCAAAACATTTTTATGTATTGATTTCACGATGACTTCAGCACTAAACTGTTCAAACAAATGTGCCTTTTCTAATATTTCAGTCCTTTCTTCCTCAGTCGGGGGCTCTCTCACATTTCCTTCAAATAAGAGATACTAGCAGCTCTGGCAATCTTATTATTACTTCGTGATACATATACTTAAGATCAATTCTTTAATATGGGAATGTAAAGTAATGGCTTAATTTCCTGAAAAACAAAGCCCAAGAAAAGCGGATCTCTGTGATAGTATAAAAGTAGTAATAGATAATAAGATACAGTATGACTGAATTAATCCTTTTTATTGATAAAGAGTGGCCCTTATTTATACTATTCAAGTTTACTGTGGAATTATAGCTGACGTGGGTCTAACAGTTGTTCTGGGGTGAGGTAGCTTAATTAAGGGTTTCCTGGTTTTACTACTGTGACATCTGAATCAAGAAATGATGTTATGTACTAGTAAGTGTTATTGTAAGGGTAATTTCCTTAGTTTCAATAAGCATAAGTTATGCTTGGATACGGCAATCTCTTACTCTGTTTTTCGTATCAGCCAACACTGTCTCAGCAATACTTTCTACATGATCAAAGCAATAGGTCTCACCATGCTTACATCTCCAGATCTATAGAAAGAGCTCTTGATATAATTTCTACATTGATCAAGTCCAAGATAGAAGCTGGGATTAATGCAAGCAATGTAGTTGAACCTCTTGCCTTGCAACAAAAATTAGATCTTGTTCGACCAAGACCTTACGGGGCTGAAAGCTTTTGGAATTGCTCTTCGGGTAATCCAAGCGCGCCACGATACTGAAAACAATTTAGATATGATGTTGTTGCAACGGAATGTAGTGTAAGCTCTGACAACTGGTCAATTCCAACAGATGCATTATATTCTTGTCTGCAACAATTCTACTGCCATACTCTAAATGGTGAAGAGTCCCGCCCTCCAGTTGACATAAACATTGACATTGCTGCCCGCGTTTGGATCAACAGCACTGTCTATAGCTCTCTCTTCTATCGCAATTATCGTCAAGAATTTAGACGTAGCAATCACATCGTCAAATTCTATGGTTATAACAACAAGTAAGTTTAACAATTTTTCAGATATATAAGCTATTTACCTTTTTAAAATAGGAAATTCATTGGCTTTATACAGTTCTTGTTTAGACATATTCACAATGGTGTCGAGCGATTCTTGTTTTTATTGAAATGATCAAGTCAATCAGACGTTGCCGCTATGACAACAGTATTACGGTTGTTGAACTGCATGATAACGAAGAAGACAGAAGAAAGCATATTGTTGTTGACATTATCAAAATTGCTTGCCAAGTAGGATTAGTAGTTGCATCTAGAGAGGAAAACCATTTACATAAAGTTACTATTCTTCATTGTTGGATTCATTGCTATGGAATTTGCTGTTTATGTTAGCATTATTATTGCTATTGTTGACATGCAAAAAGTCTGTAAAGTAGAATTTTAAGTACTTGCAACACTTTGAATGTTATTGATTAATTTAGACAAAATTATTAAAGAGAAAGAAAATGAAAAAAATTGAAAGTGAAACAAGCTCCTTTATGAAATATCATTTAATGTCTTCTGTTGCTTCTTTTTACATTCAGTACATATGTAAGCTTTAACTATAATGAAAATAGTACGATGCTGTAGCAATAAAGCAAATGAATAAACACAATTGTACCATGACAACAATGTTCATAGAGGTACAGGATAAGCTACTTGAGCCACCTTTACGTTCTTTTAAGCCCCTTCCCTCTTCCTCTCCCTTTTAATATCTTTACCAATCAAACATTTGTATTTTTTTCTTTTGTAATTGTCGGCACCACGATTCCAAATAACCTTTGACATTCCCTTTTCACTTTCAGTATAAACTTCAGTCTGTCTTCTTTTCTTCATATCAACTTATGGACCTGTACGCCATAGTGTAGCGCTAAATAGGATCATTGAGAAGGGCATAGATGCATCAGTTTGTTATAGCAATAAATATTTAACTTTTTTTTATGCTTTATTAGCTTTCTTTTTGTAGAATGCCGTTTTTAGGCTTGCACTGCTACTATAGGAGCTGAAAAAGCCTTCTTATTTTCCAGCCTCAAAGCACATTTTCCAGTCCATTTCTTTCATACTTTATCTGTATTGCTGAACGTATTCCATGTCTGCTGTAGTCGGAGCAACTTTAGGGCGTAGCACATCAATGACGGGGCTCATTACTTGCTTCAGTAGCTGTGTTGCTGCCTAGGATAGTTCAGGTGGTGGAGGCATAGGTTTAACGGCGGTATTAGACAATCCTGAATACATACACTTGCATGTATCTGTATAAAGGACACCATCATCAGCATAAGCGCGTAAGCGCTTTTTCAAAAGCGTGTCTGGCATGGGATTCAAAGTATTCAAGATTTTTTTGAATTGCAAATTGGTTTGATTGCAAACCTCAGCAGCTGATTGTTCCGCTGTAATCTTGTCTCCCGCCTGCTCCTTAACAGTAGAATATAGTTTTTGCAGAGTAAGATCATCTCTATGTTCAGTGGACAGCAAAGAAAGTTTTTGACAGCCAAAAAAATATGCGATTGCCACCATGGAAGAAAGAGGGGTAGTTCTTATGACTTCCGAAATTGCGTTATGATCAATTATGCAACATTTCTCCACCCAGTAGTTGCTTGGTATCCGCTTCATGTATGAATAATTTGATGACTTAAAGTCAAAAGCAACATCATTACGTGTTGCATGAGTACCAATTATTATCACAATCGGCTTTGTTTTGTATTCTTTTTTTACGTTGAGCGCATAACCAAGAAGCCGGTCTGCTGTATTCAGCTTTAGTGTTATTGAAAAAAGGCTATTACAGTGGGTGAAAAAACTCTAAACATGCAAGCAGATTTTTTGGTTTTTTAAGCACTGCATCGTCGTTACGTCACGCAGAAGGCTCAAACTTTGAGCAGACAGCCTTATTATCGTTTACAACAAAATGTATAAATTTAAGGCTCCGAACTGACGTGTACCCGTAGCAATCAATGTTCAAAGTCAGACGGTCGGTTTTTAGAGTTTCTTCACTGCAACATATTTATTAAAAAATGAAATTAATAACGGGTTGAGCCACCATTGGCATCAATAACTGCTTTAATACGGCCAGGCATGCTATCAATGTACTTTCTACAATCGGTTTTTGTGAAAGAATTCCATTCCTTTTCTACTCTTTCCCACAATTCATGGACCCCTTTAGCTTTGGTATCATACATGGAAAGTTTGAGCTTTAGATGATGCCACAAGTGCTCAATAGGATTCAAATCTGGG